CTGCTGGATAAATATTTTGAAAAAAATGATTGGTGGGTTTGAAGGAAGTTGAATCAACATGAGACCTAAGTAACAGACAACAACTTAAATGATGAAAGACAGTCTATTAGATATTTGAAAAAATATTAGACAATAATAGCAGCAATATAACATAATAGCTGCATTCAGAACTAGCTAGGACGAAAAGAAATAAAAAGTCTGAGCATATAGATCGAGTTTATTTCAGTAACATATGACAAAACAATTAGATTAAAGAATACTGCTCTAAGTAAAGGTCTCTGTGTTGATAGTAAAAGCAGTATTAGGAATGTAGAAAGGAAACTGAGGAAAACCAGAAGAGTTCAGAGGGTAGAGGGGATAATGCAAATAGTAACAGAGATGCATATATGATCTTAAAGACAACCAAAGGACGAAATAAGAGGTATAATGGCATGTAAAATAAGGACTATAAAGTCATCAAGTTGTGAAGAGCTGTTACCCCCAAATTGGCTAATATATTCTTTTGAGACCTCTGTGGTCATAACATCACCTACAGCCAAGCGTGTAATCCTCTTCAGCCTTGCTCCAGAAGCTGTGAAGTTGTGTTAGTGCGGTGCTGAGTGAGCTCAGGCCCCTGAGATGCTGGGAATGTTAATATCTGGAGTCAGTTCCGTGCTAAGGAGGCAGTTCTGCATGTGGTAATGTAAACAAGCTCCAAGATGTGCACATTCTATGAGTTATTCTCTACATCTGTTACCTTCTTGATCAGCTGTAAAAGTTTTTAATCCCCATTTTTAAAGAGAACTTAAATGAAAAATATTAAAGGTATTGCTCTGAGCCTGAAAAGTTTACATTATATATGTGCAGGATTGTAAGTTAAAAAAGATTACAAGGCTGCTAAGCAACTATAAAATGCAAGGTAGATTTTTGTTTAATTTAAAAGCAAATTAAGAGAAATATTAGCTTAGAAGTTGCACATAATAAATATTCAGAAGAAACCTTCTAGTTGATACATCGCAACAAAGGAGAAGTATAAATTATGACTCACTGGTTGCTTTCTTAGGAAATCTTCTGAAATCTAAGTATATGGAATAGGCTGTATTAGTACGCAGGATATATTTCTGATAGCAGACCCTCTTGCTATCTGTTGTCTTACAGGAGATATTTAAGCAGCAGTAAGTTTTATTTACCTGATGTGCAAATATGTATTACCGATCTAAAGCAAAATAGTAAGGACATCATTTTGGAAAAAACCCACCAAAACAGACAATATATTTTTTTTCTCAAAATATTTAATACAACTATTTGCAACATAGTTCAACCACAAGTGTTCAGAGTTTTTTTTTTTCTCTTAGATATTCCTACTGAAGTCTAACACCACAGACAAATAGGACTGAGATCAAAACAGGCGATTTGATTCCTAAATAATTCTGACTGTATTCTGGATCAGACAAAAGGGGTATTCTGTACACACAGACCCAAAACATACATTCAAAGTGAATTTCTCTGAAAGTCAGTTAAATAACCTATAAAAATTGTTACAGACTTCTTAAAAATTAGCATGTGCTAAAAATCCAAAAATTTACATATTGCATTTTAGCAGATTCAGTAAAATAATTCCAGATCTCACATACAAAAGGAGAAGTCTTATCAACAAAGACTTTAATATTATTAAAGAAAATATGTTTTCATTACAATAGTTTCCTTGAGTGTAAAAAAAAAAAACCACAAAACAAAAACAGCTGTCAAATTTTATATTATAAAAGAGTGTTATATTCACCTTGAATTTCAGGAAGGTATCTGAAAATACTACTTCAGAATTCTCTCTTCTGACTGAAACAAAGTCTGCAATCCTCTGCGAACATTACACAGTTCCTCTTCTTGCTGTGCAAAAAGCATTACATTTATCACATACTTTAAATAAAAAAACCCAAAAAGATTTTAAGTATTGTAATTCTGGTGCATAGTATATGCTGCTTTTAACATATCAAATATGATGCTTTTTTCTTAACATTCAACATATTGGAAAACCTGGGCTAGTGGAGGGTGTCCCTGCCCACAGCAGGGGGGTTGGAACTAGATGATCTTTGAGGTCCCTTCCAACCCAAACCATTCTGTGATTCTGTATTAAGACTTGGCACTAAAACAGCATTGTCCATATCTACCTGCTGCTTTTATCACCCAGACAAGGTTTAAAGTATAAGATGTCAGTGATACTTGGATTCTGACTAATTTTTATTTTTCACAGGGGACTAGAAATTACAATTTTTAGTAATTTAGTGTTCAAATAGCTATATTTAATAAGTAAAAATGAAGACAAGATAACTTCATTTACCATTTCTTTAAGAAGTTTCTCTTGCAGTCCTTTTATGTCTTCTCTCATCAGATGCATCTATAAAAAGATACTGAATGCATCTTCTCTGCTCACAATTGGTATCCCATTTTCAAGAACACAATTACAACCTAAATGGTTTATAACCAAGACATACAGATGCACATGCATCCACTTGCCTAAGGAAAGGGATGTGTTTTAAATTTGTTCTTTCTCGGATGATTAACACTGGTAAACAAAGCCACAGAATATAGAATAAATCTTGCAAGCAGTTTTCCAGATAATTGCACACACCTTCTAATGGGTGAAATCTAACCCTATAACACTGAATATTGTTACATTAAAGGATATGTTATGACAATGAAAAACTAAAAAAATACTTCTGTGGCATTAATACAATGCTGAGCATAAAAACTTCCTTTGGAAAAAGAGTCAATACTGGTATCTGTTGGTACAATTAAAGAATTAAAAATCATTAAAACCAAGAAAGAAACAAAATTTCGTTATACCTCTGAAGTAAAAATATGTTCTTCATAGTCAACAGTATGGTAGATGTTCTTTTCAAATGAAGTTTTAAGAATCTGAATTCTAAAGAAATAAAAGGCAATTCAAACAGGTTTGCTACGTATGAACTTTCCACACACATCATGAATACATCCCGTTATTTGTAGTCTATTTGTTCTAAAAAGCATAGATAAATATTACTGTCATTGTTACTATTGGAATAGTCCAGCAGGTATGTGGAGAAATTTAGATGGCAAATAATTACATTCTTCCTGTAACGTAACATTTTAATCTCACTTTCTCATCTCATCTGCTATCTCTATTTTGTGGAAGAGCGAAACTGCATAGAGAATAGTACTTGGCCTAACTTATACCTCAAACAAACAGAACAATTCTCCATCCGGGATTAATGAAGCCTACTAACCTCTGTTGCTCATTTTTCATGTATGTACCAAAAGTATGTGTATGTTTTTTCCAAAAGGTCTGGAAAGAAAAATATTCATAGATGATAAGCAGTAGGAACTAATATTTTCTGAACTAAACCTGACTGCTGTTTAATATGAATAAAATAACCTATAACAGACTCAGCACAGAATGGGTAGGAGTTACACAGTCACCACAGAAGCCTGGGGGGAAAAAAAAAAAGTAAGCTTAGCTGGCAGGATGAAGCACCTCAGGAATTCTATTTGCATGGAAGCAGTTTCACCAAAAGTCTGTTCTGCATAACAGTTCCAAAACGATGAAAAAGAATATGCACAGCATTTTAATCAGACTCCCCATGTAATTTAAGCCATGCCTTTAGAGTAAAAGATAAAAGCTAATATAGTCCTGTGTTTATATGAATATTTGTGTATTGATTTTTACATTAGAGCAAGTAGCAGACCCATAATGTCAACTGGCTCGTTGTAGAACACAGAGCAAGTCAGGTTCAAATGCCTACATGCTGTTCCTGAAATACAGGCCAGCTGAAAAAAAGGCTCATGAAGTGGGGTAAACAGCCCATTAAAAGCAGCAGCAGTAGTTTACTCTAGGAAGAAAGTCATATAGCGGTGATCTAGAAATTCTCAGAGCATATTGTTAGCCAATCCTAACACCTCGAATTCATTATTTGAAATGTGACCTAACCTTAAGCAAAATGATAAAGGCTTTTAAATCAGAATTAATGATCTAAAGGTAAAGATAATATGAATAATCTATAGATTCCATAAGAATTTGCTTTTCTCCATGATCAAGCAATTAAAATACAAACCGAGAATTCTTTTTCCATGTTTTTCAGGGACTGAGAATCTTTTTCAAAATTCTCAAGTTCCTCAAGGAGAGCAAAATGAAATTTGTCCAGCTGCCTGATCCTACCAAAATAAAATGAGTTACTTTTAGAAGGTATTCACTGCAGTAATAGGGGTGTTTTAGAATAAATCTTTCATTACACACCTGCATTCATGAAGCTGGTAACTCATTGTTGTTAAATGCTCATGGACAACTCTTAATGATTGCTTAGTAAAATGATCCATTTTCCGTGAGCGGCTCTATGAGGAGGTTTTAACATGAAATTCAGATTATTTTTACTTTAGGAAAAAAACCTGCAGTATGTTTAGTACTATAATTGCTTAGTATCACAGAGCATACTGAGCAAAACCCCTTTTTTTTCTTTTAATATCTCCCTGTCCTTTAAGGAAAAGCTTTCTGTTCGTGAAATGTAAATAAGCATGGATTTATGTTTTTGATAAAATTCTACCTAACTTAATTAGAAGTACATTATTTGAAAAATGTATTTCCTCAAAATAGAGAAAGTATACATGGAATGAATGATATGTGTTTACAGCTGTCTTAGACGAACAAATGCATTATTCTGGCTCATTTGCTTTTTGCAAATAAATTTCATTCATGAGTTGGACAATTTGAAAAAAATGAAAATGCAGTACACATTACTTTAGACACACAAGCTTGTTTGGAATCAACAGACAGGATAAAAAAATAAAATAGACTTGGGAAGGAAAATCATTGGAGAGTTAGGTACATTAAGTAATTGAGAAAGGCATAAAAGGAAACTTGAATTCTGTCATTTGTTGAAGTTCTATGCACATAGTTATTTTAATGTCCTTGTAAGGAAATTCTGTGGTGTAAGACAAGCTATCATGCACATGTACCCACACAGACAACTTATATTGTATATGAAATGTCTTGCCTCAATTTTCTTAGTAAATTCTTTCTGGAGCTTCTGACATATACTGATTGTTGAACAAGCAGGTTCCCAGATTTCCCCATCCAAAACAGACAGATCATTTACAGATACAGTAGATACGCTTTCAGACACTGAAGAGAAAAAAAAAAAAAGATAATGACACAGTTCAGTATGAAAAAGTATCCTATCTTAAGTTGCAACAGGGCCTAGAACAGCTTTTGTTATACAGAGATTAATTTCACCAATTAGATGGCTGAGACCAGTTTCTATTTTCATATCCATTTTCTGACTTTTTACATGGATATAGTCTCTAAATATTAGCATTTCTTTTTATTTCTTTTTTAAACATGTAACATGCATTTTTATGGATATTATATTTGCTTGTTAACTCTTTAATTTGTTACATTATTTTAAACTTTTGCGCAACTGTAGTCAACTTTCATTCCATAACTGACCTCTGTAAGTAACAGCATCATCTGTTTTAAATAATTTTCTAGGCTGTAATTTTGTTCTTCTGTTTCCTTTCTTTTCCTCCTCTTTGCCTGTTTCTACTTCATCAGAATTGCTTTCTGTATCACTGTGGTACCTTCGTTTGAGAAATGTCTGTATAGTTGGTCCTGTAATATACATGAAAACAACGCTCAATTTTAGGATTATTTAGAACAATGACATGGGAAGATGAAGGAAGAGTTTATTGGCCCTTTGGATCCAAACTCTAGGAGTGTGTGTCTTTGCTTTAAAGCTCAAGAACTATGTAAAAATTAATAAGCATTACATTTATGGAGGGCATGTTCAGTAGACATGAGAACTTGATGTAAACGAACAACAGGATTTCAATGGAACTCAGAACTCTGACCCATGCAAGACTCACTCAAAGAGATTCACCTTAAGCCCTCTTTTCCTGATAGTACCATTATCCCCACTTTTTTTCCAGTGTCAGTGGCAATGCTTCTAACTCTTTCTTAAGAGCGCAGCTAACTCTTTATAGTAACTGCATATTGGAGCCAAATTGTCAGGGGTTTTTTGGGTAATTAAAACAGCAGAGAAAATTGAGAAAGAGTAAAAATGGAATAATAATGAAAATATATATAAAAGAAGACTAAAAGACTTGGACCATATTTTTATGCCAAATAAACATTTTTCTTAACATTCATGGAGACACATAGGAAGTCTTTTGCTTTAAATTAAATGTTTGTACCTGACTCATGTATGGGGCCGTAAGGTTCTTCACTCCAAGACTGTGCTTTGCTTCCACTGGAAGCAGACAATGGAGATGGTGGTACACAATCCTAAAAGAAAAGTCACTGATTTATTAGCTTCCAAATTAAAGCACTTTTAGAAGCCTTCATCAGAAATCCACATTTATGCTGCTTTTCATTACCACTAGGGACATGAACACAGCCACAGTAAGGAAAAAAAGATAGCACCGCATGAATTACTACTAGGTCTCACTAGATGAAAGAATAAACAAATTCTTCACCATGTTAATAATTAATGATAGTAATAAGTTAAATGACCAATGAGGTCTGTTTCTTGCAAGAAGACACAAACAAAATTATTTCTTTGTCGTTACTGCTTTTTTCACCAGAAAAAGTACTTACAAGAAGTGGTTTGAAGGTACACAGCAGTTTTTATTTATTGGCCAATGCTAAAATAGTTGTTATATTGAGTAGTACATTAATGCTAAAAGTATGAGAGCACTTTTTCACCTCAAGAATTTTTCCATGCAGATGTCAAAATTCTCTAATTTGTGAAAAATTGTTTATTTTTTATTGAAAGTCAAGAAGATAATATTTACTTATTTTTTAAGATATTAATTATAAATGATCTTGTTGGGATACAATTCTTTCCTTGTATTCATATGATAAACAATTCCCTAATTTATCTCAAAAATTTAAAAATTAACTAGAAGGATTTTCCAAGCAGGTCACAGGCAAACATTATATATATATGTGTTTAACATTAAGAAAGATGCATTTCCATTAAACCTCGCCATCTGTAAAGTAGATAAAATAGACGAAAAGCTGCAGCTCTCTTCTGAAGAGCAAAGGATTTAGTAACATACCTCCTCTTCACTTTTGGTGATAGGTTTAGCAATATCTTGTAGCTTTCCTTTAACAGAAAGTGTGTCTGAAAGGCAATGTCTGAAACTTGAGTCTTCGTTATTATCACGTGTTTCAGATACAGATCCCTTTGCATGTTTTCCACTGACAGATTTGTATGTTGTTAAGCTGAGCTAGACATTAACACACACACCAAAAAAAAAATCATTATTGAAAGGAGATGTACAAAAAAGCAGGAAACAGTCGGCAGATCAATGGAACACTTTCACTTAAAATAACTGCAGAGTAACTTTAATATTCTTACCAAAGATGCTTCAGTTAAAACTGGTGAGAAACTTGTATTTCCAAATGTTAACTTTTTAACAGTCGTCTTAGGGGACTGTTCTAGACATAGGCTTTGAATATTCTTTTTTTGTGGACAGAAATTATTGGGAGAGATTCCTTTCTCAAAGTTTAACATTTCTCTTTTTTCTGGTGTTGACTCCTGAAGACCAGGCGATCTTTCACTATACGTACACTCTTGAGTAATATCTCCTTCTGATATTCTTTCAGCACCTAGAAAACAGTTATTTAACTGTCAGCATGAGGAATGAAAGTTAAAAAAGGTAAATTAAAGCCCATATTGCTAACTATTTCAACTCTAGGTATCTGCGAGTCTCAGATGTGTGAAATTTTACTTCAAGTGTTGGCATACCACTTGCACTTTTTGCACTCTCCGCACTATTTTAGCGGTTACCAGATTCATTCTAACACTTACATATTGCACTTTTATACTATACTGATGTCAAATAACTGCACCAACCTATAAAAGTTAGTGACGTATTAATACACTTCCCTAAATTAGGTGGTACACACTGAATTAGGGGATATCTCTTATTTTAAAAGCACGAAATAAATGTAAAATTGTACTACTGTGATAATTGTCATTTAACCTCCAACTTCTACCACAGTATTGCTATAAATTAAAAGTCAAAATACCTACATCTCATTGTCTCAAGAGATGCAGGACTCTCGGATGAAGGCATTTCAATTTCCTTTTGTTCTGCAGAATTCATTGATTTAATAAATGCTTTATGTACAAAGTTAGCTACTCTCTTTGGCTCCATAGATACAACATTCTGGAGTTCCTTTTGTTGATTATCATCCTTGTTTTCCCCATTCAAATGTTTCTATTAAAATACAAAGCTTATATAAACATTATTTGTAAACATACCTGCATATATATACACTTCTGTAAAAAGCATATTATCTATAAGTACTGTTGGGCAAGCAGAAGGTCCAAAAAGGAATGTCATTAGAAGTACTTAAATTCATAAGGATACCACCTGTTCTAATATCAGTAAGTATTCAATTTATTTAATTCAGCACCGAAGTTTCTATTCTTATGAACTTCTTAACTATTGGAGGCAATTTCCAATGCTTCAAGATTTAATGAGACCTATCCATACACAGTGGAATATTATGCTAAAAGAAAGAAAATGTTTTAGTGCCCAACACCATTGCTTAATTTACTCAAGATCCTGTTTGGATATTCAGCAAATGTATTGACATACTCTCTATCATGTCAGCATTTTCTGTTGTACACTAAAGAGGGACAGCATTATCAAAATCACTTTATCTAAAAGAACAAAACTTTGGCTCACTAAAGCCTCCCATTTAATAGACATTTTCAAAATATTGTTAAGATTTTAAAACAAAGAACATGGTAGTTTTTTGCAGCAGAATACACTTCATAAATAGAACCTGAAATACTATTATGACTGAGAAAATTATTTAGGACTGATTTTCTTAGCAGCTGAATACTCATTATGAAAAAAGGGCACTACTACAAATAATAACTAAAATTCATTTCAACTTGCTCATGCTGGGCACTTAAAATTCAGGCACACTAAGTACAAAGTAGACCAAGGTTTATTTTGAAAAATATAGCAGAAGGGGATTTTTAAGAAAAAAGTGCAACTGTATACCTGACTTTTTGATTTCTCCTCCCAAGAGGTACATGCTGAAGATTTCCTTTCACTCTCTGACTCTGAACTGGAAGGCTCTTTGTAATTTTTTGCTAATGCTGCTCTTCGAGGTCGTTTTTCTCTGGTGCTTTGCTCTTTTATTTCATCAGTTCTTGAATTCTGGTTTTTACATTTGTTTATCTTTGGAAGAATACACATAACTTCAGTTTACATCAGGATGATTAATAAATAAATGTCTAAGAATAAATGGCAGGTAACTTGGTTTAATTACTCAAAATCCATTCTTTCAAAACAACTAAAGTTTAACTTTACCAAAGCTCAGAGAGTCTCCTAAGCATTCTGGGAAGATAATTTTCACTGTACATAGGGCACAGTGCAGTCAGGAATGTAAGAGTCAAAAATGTGAAGAGGCAAAGTAAATGCTATTTTTTAACTATGGCAAAGATGAAGTGGGTTTCCAAAGTTTGCTCTCTGAAATATGTGCACATTTGAACTAGACTGTAACTGGTTTGAAACAGAACCAAATCCTGCATATTGAAAGGAATCAGTATCTTTGATCATCACCTCTGAACCGATTACCTTAACCACTAGACAACTTGAGTCTTGCTTTCCATCTGTCCCCCTTCTACACCATAACTACTGCCACTCCCTCTACATAGGAGTCACTGTTCAGAAACAGAGCAAAGCATGTTCTCCCTGAAATTACCCCAGGGACCTGACATTAGGAGGGACGTAAAATGTACATGCAATGCCTTTCAGACTAGGACAGATTAGAATTCGTGCCTCCTACTCTATTGAAAAGTGCTCTATGCAAAATGTATGTTTTCCCAGCTTCCTCACCTCCAGGGTCAAGTCTATTAGTGACTTCTTGAGGTTCAGATGCTCTCCATCTAAGCCTATGCAGTAGTGGAACCCTACTCCTCAAAGTAGGCATTTTACTTGGGTAAGTAAGTACCCACTTACTTGGGTAGATCTGAAGAATTTTGCTACTAAAAAAGGACACATTTTAGGAAGCAGACAGATTCAACATTGGGCAATTGAAGCCCTCTTCAGGTTTGATTTACATGGACTAGACATCAACATGAATACCTACATGTGGTGATCTTATTTTCATAAGCATTATTTACATTGAGTACATTTATGTACCTTTAAGCTACTAACATTAAATAGATTTGAATAATTACTGTACAGTCTGAGTCACCAAAGAGTAGTCTGGACTGGACAGGGAAAGGTTTTTTGTGGTTTTTTATTTTGTTGTTTGGGGGTTTTTTGGTGTTTTTTTGTTGTTTGTTTTTTTTTTAAACTGTGGCTTACAAATGTCTACAACATCTGCCATTAACATGTTCATAATCACTTATAATTTATTATACTCCCAACTTTAATATGCTTACAATATTTTCCAATTATTATTCTTTCTTAACATCTATGACAATTTTGTTTTTGCAGTTTTGCTACATTACATATATTCATTTAAAGAAATTATAATGTCAAAGGTACTAAAATTCAGTTAAGCACATTAGACACATGAAAACCCTCAATGAAAACCTAATGGTGTATTCAACGGAGCAGATGGCTATGAAGCAGTAAATAGACATAATCAATAATTTTAAGTAATAAAACTTACAAAAGCATCAATGTATAATAATCATTCTAACTCATAGCTAGTATTATGCCTGAAATGCTAGCTAAATACTACATAAAAAGAACATAGCACCTGAAAAGAACAAATGGTATTTAAATAATGATCTTGAAATAAGCATGGAAAAATGGCACATATTTATGAAAAATGATTTAAAACCAGTTTCTGTAGTGAGTTAAGACATTTTGAATATGCATCACAAGCAAATTTACATTTACCTTTTTCTTACTTGCATTTTTGCCTTTAGGTTTATCCACATGGCAAGCAGGTTCACAGAATTTATCTGCCATTACAATATAAAAGTTAGAAAAATCAGCAAAATATTCAAATGTTTGACATTTAGAGTTTTAGCTGTAAAGCCAGAGAATCACTTTTATGCCCGCAAACTTCCTGATTCAGTAAACTGCTTTCAGCACATTATTTTAAAAAAAACAAAGGTTTTTTGGTTGACAACAACCTTCGCCCGTCGTCCCATCCTCCAATAATTGTCTATGTTAAAATACAGACTTTTTGGAAATTAACCTTTATAAATTATTAGAACTAATTTGAAGATTCCTTATGCTTGGAAATAAGACAACAAAAACATATTCTATCTGCAACACAGCACATTACATGCTGTGTAGTTAATATCTATGGACAATCTTATTGTAGCATTCTTAAGAAATATGAAAAAGGTTTCTTACTTTTGTCTGTGCTTATAGGTTTCCCCAAGTTTTTATTTCTACTGTAATCAATTAACTGGGCTTTAGATTTTCTATTTGATTCTTGTAGCCAACTAATGTCTGTCTTGCTATCATCACCTCTGTATTCTGTGTCTGTGTCACTAAAGAGATGCTTCTTGTTTTGATTGTTTCTAGTCTACAAAATAAAAAAAGTTCTTATATTATTGATCTATACTTTTATATATATATACTTTTCACTTGCATAATTGGTACTTAAAGGCAGGAAGACAGGGTATACTAATCCACAAAAATCTGAGCCTTACTTTTTTTCTTCCTTTCACTTCAGTACTAGTTTTACTGTCATCTGCGTTCCTTAATTAGGAAAAGAAAAAGCACCTTTAAATGATACCTTTCAAAATACTTGTTCTAAAGTATTTCTACTACTCATGTGATATGTGGATTAAGGATTCAAACAAATGTACCTACTTTTGTTTTCACATCCATTTTGGAAATATCTGTTCACCTTAAATCCTAAAAGATATGCTTATTTGCTAATGATCAGTAAGAACACACAGTAACAATATGTCCCTTTGCATGCTGATCATAAAAAATTACGCCCCTCTATTCAGGAGTTTATATCCCTGTAGTATTCCATGAAGAGAACTAAAGCTCTTTTCTTCACAGAACACATTCTTTCCTCTTTATCAGCTTCCCAAAGGAAAAATCAGGAAACAGCCTAGGAGACCAGAGCAGTGATGTTTATTGCTTGAAAACACAACACAGTCAAGATATTATTGTCATGCATGCATTCCCTAGATTTTCACAATGGAATGCTGGAGAATGCAGACTACTATTCTTGATGATAATCAGGAGACTAGAACACAATACAACATCCCTACCCTTTTTTCTTTGGATCTGTATGAACACTCAGTTCAGTAACATGCAATTCTTGGATCTAAAATGAAAATAAGAAACAAATGAAGGTTTTCATTTTTCATACAACTTAAAATTAAACAGGCCATCACATAGTAACAGCTAAGGGCTTTTTTCCTCAGTTTTTATACTGAGCAATCAATTTACAATGATTAATTTCTATCTTAGAAATTATTTAAGAACAGAGCTGACAGTTTTGCTTCTTATGGCTCAGAGGAGCCTGCTGAATTGGTGGAGGTAGTGAAGCAAGTGGATGGAAACTCATGTATTAGTTTGAGATATTGAAAGCTTCGGTCAGTTCCAGTGGGTTTTAATTATCTTTTGTTGTCTTTTGCTTTTATCTTAGCTAGATTTTCTGTTTACTCCAATATCTGGACAAAGATGTCTCTACAATGGGGATTGGAAGGATGGCAATAACGCTTTCAGGGTAATTTAAAAACAATGATACTCCTCAATTCAGGAAAACAGTGTAATTAGCTTGAAGTGGCCAGAACCTTAGGACGGTGTGTATCATTATACATTTGAAAGTAATGGACATATTTACACGGCAAACTTTTTTCCCCACTTAGCTCAGTGATACAATTTGAATTTTTAGATGTTAACTATACTTTCAGCAGACATCATTTGACTGAGCTCCTTTATATTCTATTCATAACATATTAGTGTCAGTTATATTCTTACTCCAAGCTTTATTGTAGGCTCATCAAACCCACTGATGTTAAAGTTGTAGACATCATCCCTGTGAAACAGACACACATCAATTTTGTGACTGAATTAATGAACATTTCGCAAAGTTAGGTATGGGTAATTAGAAATTTTGTTTGAAAGTGTTTTAACTACTTACATAATATGACCAGCAGTTATATTAAGAAAAGTAGTGGTTTTCAGGTTTCTATCCTATACATAAATAAAAAGTTAACTCATATGCAAATTTGGACTATGCATTCATACACCGTCATCTCAAAAAGCAAGGTCTTCATCATGAACACATGAAAAAACCTAGCAGCTGCTCAGACTTTTAGCAACAGTACAATATGGCAAAAGGGGACAAGAGCTGGTAGAAACTATCTCTTTTAGAATTTGTCCTTTAAGTATATCAACAAAACCTCAGAATATTTTTCTCCCCAAAGATTAAGACTAATTTCTGTGTCCTGGCCAGATCCCATTTAAGGATTCCATAATCTCATTTACTATAATGTTTTTATTGTAAATATTTAGCATTGCTATATTCAAAAGGAACAGATTCAGTTATATCATATGTAAACAGAAATTAATTTGGGTTTCACTGACTGATAGTTGCCTGTAAAAATATTATTCCATATAAGTAAATATATAAAAAGTATTTTAGGTATGTACAGTCAATGCATAATTAACATCTACAGATACTTAACATTCAGCGATATTTGTGAACTTTTGCTTTACATTTACTAGCTACCACCATATATGTATGTATATCTGATACGAAAAAAATTTCCAGCAAAAGCAAAGTATGTTACCTTAGAGACACAGGATTTATTTAAATGTGGCCTAAAAAATAAGGATACATTTCATTAAATGCTAATTAGAATATATGCATTAAAATACTGCTTACATAAAAGCCTTATCAAACACAAATTTATTCATGCATTCAATTACAAACCCAAGTGGATTAAAAGAGATTTAGCCCCTTTCACTTTTGTGCTCCAGAAAAATTAATTCCAGATCAATCACACAGCTATACTGCAGCAGGTCCTGCACATCTTCCAAGTCCCTATCCAAAAGGCTTAAAACATGACATAGCCTAACTATTCCAGTCCTTTGTCATCCACTGACAATCAAACATGGAGAGCATGTAATTATATGTCCAAGCATCAGTTCCAGCAAGGTAAGACTAATTTTTCTTATTTAAGAATTTGTTAAATTTAAACTCTCCAACAGTCAACTCTTCCTGAGAGAACTAGGAACTTGACATAATCAGAAAATTGATGACTGAATCCAAGTTTGGCCCCTGGACTATGATGATAGGATGGAGACACCCAACATGTGCAGTGCCCATGAACTATCCCAGTTACTTTCTCTCCAATAAACATGTTGTGAGTGAATGAGCGAAAGACCACTGAATAGAGTTTATAACAGCCTTTGTAGTTACTTCAGCTACTGGAACTATTCAACTACTAGTCTCCTACTCTTCGGTACAATAGGGTTTATCAGAAGTGAACAAATGATTCAGATGAAAGTAGGATGTGAAATAACTGTAGACAGAGGTGTAGATCGCAAAGCCACAAGCACAAAAAAATAAGCACAAAAGTAAATAGTTCACGTCATACCTGTTAAAACCCAAGGAGTCTCTTGCTTTGCTTTTCTCATGAGTCTTTACTTGATACCTGTCACTGATTTTACTAATTAGTGATTTTGCTGCATCTGTCATTTCTGTAGCCTTTGTTTTCTATAAAAATAGAGTTTAAGACTCAACTTTGAGCCCATTCAGCAGAAGGGCAAAGCTGTAAACAATTACAGGTTCCCAACAATCACCTACACTTCATTAAATGTCTTCTAGGTGTATTAAATCACATTGCTTTGAAAACCATTTTCCCTTGCAATGCCCAAACAGCGAGCAATAAAACATCAGTTTAGCAGGTATTTTCTTTTAAATGTTGTGTTTTCATGTACTATAATATTCAAAAGTGAATGAAGAAGTGCATGAGAAGTACAAGTAGGTGCTTATTTAAGAATTATTTTCTTAAAAGATTATTGTTAAAAAGAAATTCAGGTCACACTGGAAAAGTAAACTGTGAAATTGACATTATTTAATTCACTCAGGATAGTGGAAAGTCAATTCAAAATAAGTTTGTGACTAAATGAAAGTAAAACACAAATTTTGAAACACTGAAAATTTGACAATTGTCTTAATTGCAAGTCAAAGAAATGAAGGTAAGAAACTCTCACCGCCTTTGATCGTTTGGGATTTGCAGTCTCTTTTCTAAAGAGAACATCAGGTACCTCTCTTGTAAAATCAGAATGCAAAGATGTTTCGGACACTCTCGCTGAAAGAAATGTTTTAAATGACGTTTCAGTAGTAGTTTAAATATTTTTCTCTTCTGTACTTAACAATTTGCTTCAAATGATTAACACTCTGACTGTCCACTAAGTATTTTGCAGTTTTCTTCCCTCATGGTACCATTTAATTTTCTTGGTTTTCTTCTCTTTTAAAATTTATTTATTTATCTGGAGAGATACTTCAAAAAACTGAACAAAAAGCTTTTTGTTTCACAGGTCTTTCACTAACAATAGAAACTAATACGGGGGGCAGGGGGAGCACAGCTATAGGTTAAAAATTAATCTGAAACATTTTTAACACTAACAGTTAACAAAGTGTGAACATAACATGGATGGGACGTACGTGCCAATGACGTATTTAGCTTTTGCTTGTCACCAGTTGTTATATTCTTCTCAGGAACAGAGCATGCTCTTTTTTTCCATGTTTTGGTTTTATCAAAAGAACTCTCCAAAAGACCAGACAGCCTAACAAAGATAATACCGTCTTATTATCAGTGAATCACAGAGAGTCTTAATTATAATAAACAAGCATCACAAAATAGGAAAATAGTGATGACTTGTAAGTATCAATGCATTTTACTTTGGTACTTAAGCCTGCTACCATCGTTCAATTAACCAACGCATTGTAAAATGGCAAACCTTCAGAAACCACAAGTATTATTAAGTCAGCTTCAAAAAGACAACAATATCCTGTGGCCATCATTAAACCATTAACCTAGATAACTGTGGTGTGTCAAATCTACTACTTTTTATGGCACACTTCACTTATGTAAACCCACTTGTCATTTTTATTTTACCTTCTGATGTGATCTGAAAGAACTACTCTCTTTGTTACTTCTAAAGCTTACTTAAACTCCTACTCTGATCCTATTAATGAGTACTGTTTTCATAAAAAGACACACCAATTTAAAGTCCTGGATTAAGACAACAGAATAGAATTGTTCATTAAGAAGTACTTGGCAAATACATATAAGAGTGCTGGTTTGGTACCATGAATTCCAGAATAAAAATATAAATCAACATAAGAAGAGTGACCTAACTTACACAGTCAATAGTTCTTAATACAGCTACAGTCAATAGTTCTTAATACAAGTCTCAGGTAAGTAAATTAAATTCTGGCACCTTCTGAAACTATACAACTAAATTTCAATTCTGGCAACACTTGAAAATACTCCCTTCAAAGTGAGTCACAATAACAGTGACTTGGTATTCTTTCCCAATACTTACAAAGGTTTGTTGCTTCTCCCTACTGGCTGAGAATCAGGAACAATATCTAATGCTTCATCTAAATGAGACATTAATTTGGTATCAATTATTATTACAGAAGAAATGGACAAAATTAAAATAACTTTTAAAAGTAAGGACTATCAATGCTTGTAAAATTACTTGCCTAAAGTTTGCTTTTGTTCGGCCTCAATTTCTGCCTCTTGTATCATTTCTAAAACTTCTTCAGCACACATATGCTACAGTGGGATAACACCCAAAAGAAAATATTAGCATGGGACTATAAACAGTATAACCTCATAAACTTGGTTTTTTCCTAATAAAATAAGAAATTATTTTTTCATTTCATAGAAGTGCTGATTCCATTACCTTTTCAGGTAGTTTTGTCTCATTTCTGATATTTGACTTCCTGATCTGTTCTGTTTCACAAAATTCATTGTCTAGTTTACATCTTTGCCCACTCTAAAAAGCACAATGAGTAACACTGACAATTACAATCCACAAAAGTAAAATTCTCCTAGAAAGTAATACTTGAAATATTCTAGTCTACACATCTGTATGTAAAAGCCTTTTTCTAAAGCATGGCTATATCAAAAAATACTTCAGAATCCCATAGACTGAGATTTGACCTGAATCTGACCCAGGAAGACATTTAGAACCCAGAAATAAAATAAAAATGTTACTTTGAAGTCTTTATTCACCTGAAACAGAAGCAAAAATACATATACTCAAAACTGCAGTTCAGTGACACCTCTGTGGTTTTGTTTGATTTTAGTGAATGCCTAATCAAATATGCACTAAAACCAATGCTATACATTCTATAACCTGAAGACATCAACAGTTCACAACTATAGCTGAATGTATTATATATTTTTAAAAGTATTTAAACACTGCATAATTTGAGATTCTGTGCACACAACATTCTCGTATTATACACAAAGGAAGAATTGTGGTTCTAGTAAAAGCAAGTTAATTCTGGGGTTAGAACTGATGAGTGAATGCAAATTTTAGCTAATTTTGTAAGAGTTCAGTCTTACTTTAGACATATTAAACTTGAAATCCAGAGGACAAGAAAACATTATGCAATAAAGTAAAACACACTATTTCCTAAAAGTGAGTTGCTGACTGCAAAACTCTAGCTCTTTAAAATATGAATTAGGAATAAATTAGAATAGAAATTAATGTTATTCTAAGTGAAAGACAGCTACTATGACATGCATACTCCAGTAGGTTCTTGACAGAAATTCTTTGTTCTGGTCTCATTAACTGCATTATTGTTAGACCTTTCAGCAGAGCTCATCATTTCCAAAGGTAGTTTAAATCGTCCTTTACAAGGAGTGGCTGAAAACAAACCAGAGACATGTTAGAATTCTACCATTTCTTCTATTACGAGTACTGTGCTGTGACATCACTATGAAGAGTATTGCCCATGATCACATCTATTCCATAAACTTTAAAAGAAGTTAGCTAGTATTTATATCAACTTATTATGTACTTTTTATAAATCTATTGATTTCAGTTAAGTTACATGGAGGTTAACGAGCCCATAGGCTGTGGATGTCTGGAGGCAAGCAATGCTTTTTACAGCCTGGCTCTGGTAGAAAATGGTCACCTATATAAAGATTTTACTGTGATATATTTTTCCTGAAATAGATTGTGTGGTTAAGTTCCAAATAAAAATGTGACAGAAGTTCTCTTTTTCCATCCTAATCTGAAAATGCTTTCTTTTCTAGCCTCTGTTACTCTTCATTTATACGTGATACGTGGATATACGTAACTAAGGATACTGATGCACTTGAAACAGTTAAAGCAAGACAATTACGCTTAAGTCATGCTGTTCTGCCACTAGTTGCATCTCCAGCCTCTACTGGTCTTTGTCTTACAAATCTCTCCCTTGTAGAAAGTATTAAATATCGTTACATTAAGGCTATTAGTAGGAAAGTGAAGTATTTGTGATAAAAGTGTCTTCCTTATCCTTTTCTCTGTAAGAAGCACTTTTAACATAAGCATCAGTAGCACTGGACTTGTGATTCAACCTTACAGTGGATCCCACCCTGCTCACTGACCATATCATCAACTGCCCCTTGAAGAAACACATGCAGTTTCTAGATAAGAGTAAAATGCAAGTGATAGACGTACACATTGGAGAAAGCTGATTTTCCACCGCAACTGCTATACAAGCACTAACTGCCGAGAATTCTTTAAACGAAGAGCATATGAGGAGAGAGATGAAAACACACCTATGTTTTAGGTCTTCTAATCAATTGCCAACTTCTCAGCTTGCTCCAGCACAAAGAGCTGACTGACAGCAGCAGTAAAAACGACAGGTGGCCTTCAGCTGTTTCGAATGCCTGTGCAGCCACCATACTGCACAGGGTCTATGGACCACTAGCAAGTGGCCTAGATTAAAAATTTCAAGTTTAAAGCACCTGCTAGGGAGATTTTATAAGGTCTACTTTTCGTTTCCAGCTCTGCAAAGGATCACAGTTCATGCTTGTATTTCAAAGATGATTTATAGCATATTTTTACCCTGAAAGTACTTGTAAGCTTACATGTGCTAACAAATACCAGTGGACTCCTTGTGGAAAATCTCGTAGTTCCAGGAATAAGCACGGATGCTTCAGACACTTTCCTTTTACAAGATGTAGTTATCTTGAGGAACAGAAAAAACTTGACCGTAATACACAGATTTAAGGATGACAACACAAGATTTTAGAAAATCTATTTCAAAGAGTCTTTTGACAGTTTCTATTATTGAAATGTCAATTGCTGTTGCTGCACACAGTGTAGTGCAATTTTTATGCAGTTCTCTTTTTAGAGAAAGTTCACCAAAATACTTGAATTATTTAATACTTCAAACTAATGTTTTTAAATTGAGATCAGTGATTGTTCCTTTCTAAATTAATTCAACTAAGTATGGACAAATCCTGTTCCTTGTTAACAATCAAAGTAACCAAGATGATTCCCAGGAGTTTCTGCAAAGCTGTCACATAAGCTATAAACCAGCAGAACATTGACAATTGCTTTTTATTTTTGTCACATTGTTATAGTTTCAAAATAATTAATAATAAGAAATTTTTTACAAAGGGATTTATATAGCTCAGTGTCAAGTCAAAAGAAAAACCAATCAACCCTGTATTAATTATATTCCGAATGAAAAATAACAGGAGTTTTAACTATCAAATTGATAAATATTTAAATTTACTTCTATTTTTGATGTACTCTTTTCTGTTTTGATAATCCTACTTACCTTGGAGGAACCACCTCTGTGTTTTTCTTGACTGTTATTTTTATTCAGAGTCCTCAAAGCTCCAGGAAGTTGCTGAGTTTTGTACTTACTGAGTTTCTGCTCTTCTTCAGATTTTTCTTCCGAACATGGTGACAACTGACTTTCTGGTATCAGAACCTATATAATATTTTGGATTTAAAAAAAAAAAATAATTATACAATATTTGAATTTTATTTTGTTTTATATTTTATATTTATACAAACACACACAGAGTAACTTCTTTACCCTGTCACACATTCCTCACTGTAGATTTTGACGAACTTCAGAGTTTACATACTTTTAGTTTGAAACCAACTGTTATTTTCACTAACAAGGATGGGTTACCAAATCACAATTCACATAAAAGAACTTCTCCTATGTATATTTGTCTTAAGTATTACATGATTTGGATATGAATATAATTTTCTCACCAAATATATAATACATACTTAACTAGAAATCACTTAACTGGTTTTAGAGTTATCTTTACTTATTGGCATTTAAAAAGTCCTTGTTTTATGGTGAATGATCATAAATTAGCTAATAATCAGACTAAATATAAAAAAACCAAGAAAACAACCATCTCATCATACTGAAATAAGATACCTGTGATCCGCTTTCATCAAAGACAACATGTACAGTTGTTTTGGCAACTGATGCAGACTGCTTCTTACTAAAGCCCTACAAAGTGAGTAACCATCTATGTAAAACATACACTTTGGTCACTTTTTAAAAAACAAAAAACAGAAATAAAATATTTAAGACAGAGATCGTAAGTGTCTGAAATCAGCTTATAAGGGAAAATAGATTCTACAAGCTCATACCAGTTTCATTCCTCATGAGTTTCTCAATCAGAGTTCAGGGCGATGTAGTTTGTTACAACCAGTAAGGAGTAAGCTATGACTTGCTAAAAACTTTTTACTAAATGAGTAAATTCATAAGAATGGTAAGTGTACTGCAAAACAAGACAGCTAATGAATCATTTCTGAGAGACTTCCATATTTGTAAGCATCCAGTTCTTGTGGTTCTGGAAAATTACACATGTAAAACTTGACATTAAGCTATGGTGATCCCTTCCAGCCTGTTGATTTTTGTTGCAATTAATTTTAAATCTTAGAATCATAGAATCATTTAGGTTGGAAAAGACCTTTAAGATCATTGAATTCCACCTGTTAACCTAGCACTGCCATGTCCAGCACTAAACCATGTCCCTAAGCACCACATCTACATGTCTTGTCAATACCTCCAGGGATGGTGACTCTGCCACTTCCCTGGGCAGCCTGTTCCAATACTTGACAAGCCTTTAGATGAAGAACTTTTTCCTAACATCCAATCTAAACCTCCCCAGCACAACTTAAGGCCATTTCCTTTTGTCCTTATTAGGCATCTTTACTGAAACTTAACGTAAAATGGGAGAAATGCTGCTCTGTAGTGGTGATGTTAATCAGAAACTCTCAGTATAAATAGATACCAATAATTACAGCTATAACAACATTTATATGGCAAAAAGACATTTATTTTGAATCAAATGAAAGCTATTTAAAAAAGGTGTTTAAATCTTACCTTACATTTACTAAATCCATAAATCTTTCTGGTTACATCTTTGATTTCCAAGATAGAATCAAAATACAACAAAAATTTATCTCCTTCTTGATTACCCACATTCATTGGGCTTTTTAGATTTATTGTTAATAATTTCTTTGAATCTTTTTCTGGGCAAAAACAAAATTTGAAAAGTAGTTTCATTACAATTTAACATCTCATATAATGTTTGCAAATACATAAAACTTACTTGCATTCTTCAGTTCAGCTATTAAGATATATATTTTATTTAATTCACTCTAACCTACCATAAATTTTATTAGCAAAATGATTAAAGAGTCAGTCTTTTAGAAATACTTATTCTGTATATTATCCTGTAGAATTTTCTTTGAAGGTTATTTACTATGGCTGTAGACAAATTATAGATATTTACAAAACTATTCTATTTTAAAAGGACTACTATTAAATGTCAGTCTTACACCTTATTTTGCCTTGAAATAATTATAAGACATTATTTTAAAATTATTTTAATAAAAACACACCTGCATGTCTAAAACGCAAATGTGACTGCAGTGCAATTTTATCCCTGATAAAAACAGTACCTATAACATTTTAAGTGGGAATTCTGCTTTTCTGAGAATTGAGTCAGTACTACAGGATTAATCAACTGAAAATCCAAGGTAGTGTGTAACAAAAGGTCATATTTATGAGTGCCAATACCTTCAAGGCTGTACAGGTCTACCTCTTCTTCTGGTATAATGACTGTTTCCCACTGATGATCCTTATATGAAAAATACATATTTTTAAAGCTAGAAAAGCATTATATTACAATTAAATGGAGTGATCAGAAAGTTATTCAGTGAGGACAAGTGGCAATGAACATATGCTTCATTGATAACAGTGAACAATGTTTCAGAAGAGACCTTAATCTAAACAGTTCAGTGTCATCTACAAAAATAGTAACTGCAACCTTGTAAATGGCTTCTTGTTCACGTGTACATATGTTGAACTGTTCACAAACAGTGTTAGAAAGTCATTACGTTTAAATTGTTTGATTTAAATATGTACATCAAATCCAGATAATTTTTTTCCCTTCACACTATAGACACACACATAACTTCCACATGTTGATGTAGGGGAAAAAATGATACACTTGGAAGAATGTGTGTATACTGCCTCAGAACAATCTAGTATGACAGACAAAAATTAGCTTACTGCATCATCTGCTGCCACATAGAAAGATATACTTCTGCTACCAACATTGAAATCAATCCAAAATTCTTCAAGATTTTCATCCAATGGTATCTGTAGCTAAAACAAAAAAGGAAAAAGGAAGGGAGGAAAAAAGAAGGGAGGAAAAAGGAAAAAGAAGGAAAAAAGAAAAAAGAAAAAAAGAAAAAAAGAAAAAAAAAGAAAAAAAAGAGCTGAGAGCAATGACTCATACCAGCCAACAGGCTTTGTGTTACAGCCTGACAAACTTTAAATACATGCACATCTGTATCCTCCTAAAAAAAAAAGAATTTTCTTACTTGATTCTTATTTTATTTAACTAGAAGGCAAAGAAATTCTTAGCTGCACAAATGAAAAACCTGTGGATATATGATTAAGCCTGTAACTTACCTCATAATTATCAAGAGCTGCTGATAAACACGGATATGTAAAAACCCTGTAAGAAGAGGATATTTTGTCAAGTATCCTAAAATGCTGTAAATAAATTTTGCATATCTGAACACAGCAACCAGATTGTGTTTTCAGCACAAAACTTGTGCACTTTAGAGAATAAGAGATCACAGCAATCAAAAGAGCAGTCATCTGACTGCACTTCTTCCCCAAAGGGGATAATATGAAATTTTATATATCCTCACAATTAAAGCAGTGGTCTGAGACGTCTTGTTACTACATTCCTACTTTCAGCTTATCCGCTGATATTTCAAGAATGGTATTCAAACTGAATATTCACCTGATACACAGACATATCAGACAACCTCTTTGCTGTCATGACGTGTAAAAGTAACATGCAGAGCATGTGATCATATAGATAAGAAAAAAGCTCATATTTTCTCTTCCTTTTCATGTCCCATTTCTCTAGCAGATATTCTCATGGATTATTATCTCAATGTAAATATTCTAAATCAATAAATAAAGGAATATATACCAACAGATCACTAGCTATTGTTAGGTGATATGTTTATTGAATTAATGAGCATCTCAGGATTTTGCAAAAGAATTAAATAGAATACAAAAACTAGCTCCTTATTAAAGGAAGCATAGCATATGCTTTCTATTATTTAATCTTTTCAAATTAATGTTCTTTATTTAGTGAACATTTTCTTCAAGCTGTTATCTAATAATCTGAAACTTGTTATGTCTTTTTTCCAAATATGGGAATTACATAAAATTAACATCTTGATAGAGAAGATAATATCAGTGACAACATGCCAGAGGATGGTATTACTCAATTTCTTTACTATTTAGTATTTTTAAAATATCTTAACTCTGCCTGGTTCCTTGACTTTATACCACAGCAATATTAGTTTTATTTGCTTGTATTATTTTAATTCAGTGTTTCCCAAAAACAGTTTTTGTGATACAAAGGTTACTCCCGATGAATGTCCATATAATCCAAAACTGAAAATATATTAGCTTTAAAGAATTCAGTTTTACCTTCTTTTGTCGCCAAGCATGCCATTCACTTGGTTAAGAAATTTTCTGCAATCCTATTAAAACACAAAAATGCCTTAAAAAGAATCGTAAAATCAAAGTTTACCTCCCTGAAAATATTTTTCATGTGACTTACCGTTTCAAACTCAGAATCTTTAATTCCTTTAAATGCATTGGACACAAACTCCATGGAAAACCACTGGCATGCCAGCTCTCCTCTTTGTTTCTCTGAGATCATTCTGCATAAAGCTTCTGTAATGGCTACTTGCAGGTCATAGTCTGCAGCACAATACATTTTACAGGAATAGTAGTTTTAAAGATACTACTGATGTGAAAAAAAAAAAATTATTACATAGGAAACTGATATAAGTAGTGCTGAACGTTTTCTATTACATATCACATATCTAAATATGTAGCCCATAAAGGATATAGAAATAAAGAACTAAGGGAGTAAGGATGACTAAACTTATGTTTCAAAATGAAATTTCAACCAAACTTTCAAGGAATGTCAGAGCAACACTAGGCATATAAGCAAGAGAGAAGAATTTTTCAACTTTCACCTGTCTGAACTGGCAAATTGTTGGATGCCAAAGTGATCCCTGAGAGAACTTACAGTACTACTAAACATGGCTAGCCGTTCACTGTCCTCAAAGACTGACTTCCCCATAAGCTTTTGCTATTTTAAAACTTATATTCTAGAGAAGAAAACTTGAAAGAGTTAGTCATACATGGTATACATCTGAAACGTTCCAGTTTGCAGATTGTTTTCACAGAGTATTTGTATTGTTCAGAGGACTGTAATCACAACATTCTACAGCTTCTAAACGTCTTCCCTAGATTTCTAATGGGTCTGCATGCAATTTTTAAAAAGCTGAATACTAAATTGTTTATTAAGTCCCATGCTCACCTCCAGCATCCAAAATTCTCCTCCCCATGTCACTCCTGCCAAACAAAGTAGCATTACATCAAAACATGACAAAGCATAGACGAAAAGTTTATTTAATTACAAGCTTTCAACGTACGAGACAAAACCCTGATTCCACTAACCTATTAGATATCAAAGAGGTAAGTCTGTTATACTAAGGATAGACATCTGTAAGTACTACTGTGGAAGTGAATCACCTGATCTATATAATTTTTATTCTATTTATTTTTTGAAATGCTGTAAAAAAAATTTCCCCAACACGAATAGCTTGTCCTTCCAGTAACTGATTCGCTGCGCTTTACACACATCCTTGTAAGTAAGAGTTTAATTATTTTAAGACAACTGGGATGAGAAGAACCCTAACGACATCAGAAAAGAGGTAAATTTAAGCTTGTAATGGAGAATAACCCATAAGAGTACCTGCCCACAGCCACTACCACTGGCAACGCAATAGCAAATGCAAAAGTGAGTTAAATGGGGACCAATCTGCATGCATTATAAACAGCCTTAATAAAAACTGCCTTTGCCCAGCTATACAAATGATGCAATGATATAAAAATTATACTGAAGATTATTTACATGACAAGCAACATTTCCTTTGTAGAAAACAGTTTTTTCCTGGCATCTCGAGGCATGTTGTCAAGCATTAAATTAAGTTTTCTTACTACCTAAGAAGAGTGGAAAAAAGGGAGTAAGATTAAATATAAAATAAGTTGTTAAAATTTAAGTTGTTCTTATTTTGGGCCCTTGTAATATATTTCATACCACTGAAAAAAATAACATGCTTTAATAACTGCAAAACAAGAAAAGACAATGAGTTCTGTCTGACCTTAAATGGTATTTCTTAATATAACTACCTCAATTTCAATAAATTGCTTTAGCTTTAATGTGAACATCAATTCTTAAAGAGTTATGTTTCTTATTTGCAGGTTTAAATATAGAAAAAAAACCCCAACTTTCAAAGCTAGAGTTCTGTCTGCAGGTGATTGCTGAGCTACAGTGTACCTTAAATTTGCATTAAACCCCCTTTCCTTTGGGGATGCAGCCTTTACAGAAGACTTTTTTATAACTGTCCCTTTTTTTTAGAGAAGAAGGAATACCTGACAACCTGAAGTTACTAAAATAGGAGAAATTTGCACTATACTAGAAGGTATACAAATTTCTGCAAGTATCTGGAGAATTTACAACAACAATCTTAATCTTATTTATAGGAGTTGTAATAGAGCATATTATTTCCTATGCGTTTATACAGCTTTCTCACCAAAATCTTAACACCACTGTTTTGTAATTAACTGTCCAAATACAAAATTACAGGTCAGTAATCTTAAAAAAAACCAACAACCACCCAACATATAAATGACAGCAAACATTCCCAGAGAAACATTAAATCATCCTTCTGATACTACAGCACTACAACATTCTCTTTTTTTGTAGCATCTGTACAGTTAAATTACTATCTTCACAAAATCTGTTAAAACACTAACCAGAAAACTGTTGCTTAGAAAGTTTGCTGAACATAAATACTAATTCTTACATCAGCAATGAGGGTACATGTTCTCAGAACAAAGTTTTCCAGTATTTGCATTTTACCTAATGAACAGGAAAAAATAAATCAATTAAAGAGTTACAGAGAGTGTATTAGGGTGCCCCCTCATCAGCATTTGGAAAAAGATTAATTGTCATTTAGAAATAAAATACAGTATGCCTTCCTTTCCATATAGGATTACTGATACTTAAAAATACGCATCTTAAGGTTAAATGCAAGACAGAACAGTTAGTTCATTTTATAGTAAAAATGGCTCTTGATGATGTTTCTTTTCCTATGCATCACTGCCTAAGTCCACAGTGCATGAGATCATTATTTTTAAAATATAATCGGATCAATTCAGTAACTTTGCTCTCTGAGATACAATTCAGACCCTGGAATTTATCTTCACAGGAACAAGGAAATGAATCTTTCATTTTGATAGTGACAGCATAATGGTATGTAGTGACTTTCTACCTAGTGCTGTACTGAAAGGTAAGAGAAGCACGATATTCACGATAGCAAGACTACTGTGCTATGCTGAGCTATGACAGTAGCTTAGAAACAACATTCTTTTTAGGAAAAACTCAGTTCAGTTGCCATCTCTGAGGAGACTTGACTATCCTGCTTTTTTGTTACTGACATCAGCAAATTACAAGGAAATCTGTCACTAGAGAAAGTTCAAATTAAACGATCAAAGCTACAGTTGATGTTCAGCTTTTTTCACATGAATGAGAAATGTAGCCCTTTGTGGGCAAAACAGCCCTCTTGAGGATAAGCCCTTTTCTGTTACAGTTTATTAGCTGAAGCATATAGATCTGCTCGTATATTTGCATTAGATCAAGAAACTCTGTACCACCCTCATTATACATGTTCTCAGAACTACCTTGCCTCAAGATGGCTCCAGCAGTAGCAAGTTATTTTAACACTGATCACTTCGAAATGTCTCTTTCAGAACACTTTAACTATCATATCTAGTGTACGCTTTTTTTAAGCTCACCTTCAGGTCTGCTATCACATATAGCCTACAATGAAAACCAAAACAAAACATATCAATTTGATACTGTAAATATTACAGCACAAAAATCAGGTACCATGTACCTAAAGCAAGTAATCAAAAAAACATTTAAGATTTTAAAATTATTTCATCATTAATGAATAACATAAGAGACTTCTTCTAATACCAAGTGTGGTTTCCCAAAATTAATTTCCATAAACTTAACTGAAATATATTTCCCCAATGACAAAAATTTTTATGAACAGAAGAAAACTCACAGATCCTATAAATTTGGGGTCCTGGGATTAGCCTATCAATAATTGATGTAATCAAAATTAGACCAAGATGATTTTTTTTTGTTCACTGAACACTTATGTTGTTGGGGTTTTTTAATTTTATTTCATGATGCTAATCATGAACAGAAAATGAGTATGAATAGAGGCAAACTATTTATCCGAAAAGACTTATAATCTATTTCAGAAATTATTGTAACATTAACTTTAGAAGGATATTAAACAGAAACACATTTGAAAGTCTTTTTGTTGCTAAACTAGTAATAATTATTTTGACAAATACAGACAATATATTTTATTATCAATATATTTTTACCAGCAACATGTTGAAGAAATCTTCAGCCAGACTTGTAAGCATTTCATTCTTTTCATTTCCTCTGAGGATGAAAATTCCTTTTACCTTTTCAAACCAGTTAACCATGTAATGGAAAAATAAATCTATTTAAATAGCATGCAAAAGGGCAATTGTTTGTATTATACTTAAGTAAAAGTACACAAACTAGACAAAGATTAAAACAACAGCAACAATGTTACCAGTCTGCTGAGTGTACTTGAGCCCTAGACTGAAATTTTTCACTCACACTAAACAAATGTAGGTGATTTCAAACTAATGTAAGTAATTTCTGTAGCTGATTCTCTATCACAGAAACTAGAGATCTACTTTTACAACTGCCATCACAGACAAAAGAGCTGAGAATGGAGCTCAATGAAAAAGTGTGTTTGTAGGTGTGAACATAAGCATGAAGTTATCATCACATCTTTTTATTTTTATTTTTAATCAAAGCAGTTGAGAATGCAATTGAGTAACACTCATCTGACAGTGCCATTAATTTTCTTCACTGAAATCTGTGGTGAAAGCAATAAGGAAGCGGTGTCTATTTTTCAGTATATTTTTTATGTTGAGTCACAAATGATTAAGCATTTAACACGCAGGTTGAAATAACAGCACAGCACTATGATCTCTTGAAAGAACAGGTGCAATATTGCTGTTGCAAGTATTAACAAAAAATTATTAAATTGCACCAGGAAATTCCAATGCCTGATTCAAAAGCAGTATAGCAAGCTCACATAAAAAGATACATCTTGTTGAAAGTGCTAAAAGCATATCTAAATTAACTACATATTGCATAATTTGCAAAACCTTCACTGTGGCGGAGAATCATCACTTTATAAGGAAACACTTGTCACAGAACATTTAAATCTGAATAATGTTTGTGGCAAAGTTATGGGAAATTCTTAATTCAGAAACAATCAAGGATCAAATCGAATATTAAGCTGTTCAGTACTGAAGCATTACTTATGCATGCTTTATTAATTTTTAATTTTTTTTTCAGAAGTTCAGGTATGCTTTATGGTTTTACTTATCCTTCCAATAAGACCGTATTTTATCATTGCTGGGAGCCCATCTTCTCCTGCTATGCAGATTTTTCCCCCACATTTCTGAATAAAATTTAGTACAGTGGAAATGCTTTTGACTTCTTGTTTGTCAAGTTCCTGAAATTGAAATTACAACATATGCTTTAGTGTACAGTTCTAGAAGAACCTATATTTAATTAACCAGATACCTTTTTACTCTCAAAAGCCATCTTAATTACAGCTTGAAGTAGAGATTTCATTCTTAAATTTTATTTCAGCTTTTCACATCAACTGCTGGTATAAACCAAGCCAAATGAAAAAATCTTTTTCACACTATTACAATGACAGTATAGAAGATTCTGACGTAATGATTACATTACCTGACACAGAAGCTTGTCTAATTTGTTGACAAACTGTTTGCTGCATTTGTGAGAGACATTTTCACAGTCTTCTGTTGCCAGAAATTGTTCTAATAATTGGAAATCTTTTTTTCTTGTAGCTTCATCAATTAACTTTTCAAACTGTCAACAATAAAAGAAAACAGAGCAGCTATATTACCATATGCTTAACACCGATACTGATTTAACAAGATTTTAACATAGGTTTTATGCAATCATCCACTGCATTCTAAGCAAATATTCTGAATCACAAAAGCATTAAATGTAAAATCTAAAGTACAGAACACCATATCTAATATATTAATCATACAAATACTTATTCACTGTTTTTAATTATCTGCCAGTTTTCCTTAACTGAATGTTTTTTCTTTCCTCGTATTACAAATAAATGCTTACGTAAGTGCTCATTGTGTTAATATCCCTTCCTTAGTACATTTAATATTTTGCATTTCTAAGGTATCTATTAGTGACTTTAAAAAAATAATAATATATTTGAGGACTACTGCTTTCCTCAACTATTTTGGCACTCTATTCTTTCTAAATCAATTATAACTAGATTTCAACATTTAGATCTTAAGTATTACCCCAACTGATTCATGTATATCAAATACATATGATTTATTTTCATCAATAACAATTTCCAATTCCTCTTGCTTTCTGCGGAGCTACTTAGCACTAACCTGTATCAAAAGAGAATTTCTTCCTACCACATTCTTTGCCACACTACAAATTTTGCTTGTAATTAAATACCAGAAGGAATGCTTTAAGCTGGTTATTAAAACAATCAAGACTTGTATTCTGGTCCATAAGCACATACCTGCATCTCATTCCTGGCTGCCATTTTTGCAATTCATCTACTCAGCTGCATAAGAAGGGAACAATCATCACTTGATGAAAACACAATTCACTGACATAGACTTCCAATTGGTTTCACAAACACGTCAGTAATCAGTGACAATATATTACAAATTTCAAAATGTGTTACTAGTATAAATACTATTTAAGAAATTAAAGTAAGTGAGGATATAAGGAAACATCCTTACATGGATAAAAAATTGCTTAAAGAGTGGAAGTAATGATCAATTCTGGCAATGGAGGAACTGAGGGTCCTGCAGCCAACTCATTCTCATATAAGAGCATGGAGATGGCCCATTGTACTGTCTACACCGGGTTATTCAGAATAGGTATGGCAGAGCTCCAGAAGGGCCTCATTATAAAATGGCACATTAAATCACTTAAGAAAAATGTGATAAATTTTCTTCTTAACTACTCATACAGTGATGGGCTCTGACATGACTATTACCACCAAAAAGTAAGATCTTGAAATGATAGCTTTCTGAAAACATTGTCTTAATAGTCAAGAGCAGACAAAAATATTTTCTTTGCTTTCAGAGTTAATGTGAAGGAAATCAACAAACTTTTTCTTGCTTTGTATAAATTAATCTGCTTCAACAAATCTACTGCGTGCAGTTTTGGTCCCCCCATCCCAGAAATTACACAGAATTAGACAAAGCAAAGCACAAGGAAATAATGATTAAAAATAGAGGACAACTTCTATAGAACAAGCAACTACGAACACACACTAGTCATTTCTGTACTCCTAAGTAATACAGAACTAACAAGTAGAGTGGGAGTTTTATTATTTTTTTCCAATACAAGAATGCAACAGCATACATTGAAGCTTTTGCTATCACCTCACAAGTCTCTCATTGCCTGCCTAATCAGACAAGCCCGACAAGAAAATGTAAACCCCTTCCAGGTGCCTCCTTCTCGACGAGGGAGTGAGACCTCCACCCTCGAAACACACATAGTCGCTGACATCCCCCCAGAGCTTTGTTATTGAGAAGAAAACGCCCTGCATAACCCCCGCCTCCTCAACAGCGAGGCAGCAGAAAAAACCCCTCACACCATG